ATACACCATTATTTAATGTCCTGTAGAGAGCATAAATAGCAGGAGTGCGTATATTTTTTTAATAGTCCACGAGAAACGTGTCGCACCCTTTTGATTGGCAGCTAAAAATGTCACCGTTTTCATTGTGCTCAATAAGGTAAGACGCACTAAAATAATTTTGCGTTATTTCCCCAGCTTGAGCCAGCCGTTCATGTTGAACAATATCAGTTTGACTGCAAATTGATATCCGAAATCTATGCGTAAAGGTCAAATTTTGGCTGAGATGCACACAGTCTGAGAGAATAAAAGTTTTTTTTTTTTTTTTTTCAGAAGCGCATTAGGAACATGTCGCGCCCTTTATGCATTACGGTTGTGCTGACATAGCCCTGCCGCACGTTTGAACGTCTCCGAGTGGTGTGTAGCAGGCACGTAGCCAGGGGGGGGGGGGGGGGGGGGGGCAATAGGTATAGGGATATTCTTGTGACTTTAGGTGAAATAGAAAAGCCAGTTGCTATTGCCCCGTCTAGTATAAAGGTTTTTGTACACCCTTAAATTGAAGAGCACATAATTGGCTTTGAGAACAAAATATTACTCTTTGATGCAAGAATCATCAACAATCATTAAAAATCTCCGGCAAAACTATTAGTTTTTGCGCTACAGTTATTACAATATGGCTCATATGAAAAGAAACAAATGGCATCTATAATTGTCCCCTTGGGAATACCGTGACAGGAAAAGATCAGCTATGGTTATTATTCTGGCAAAAGTGCTGCAAAAAAACCTAAAAGAAAAATGAAACAGCTCTAGGAACATGTCAGAATGATTTACCTAAAAGGATTCCGGTGTCATAACACATAAGGTTTTTCTTAAATCAGAAAGATACCAACAATGCCCATACCTTTTCCAAATTTTACTATGGTTTATTTTGGTGCGAAAGTGCAGATTCAGTTCACAAAAGCTCCAAATACAAACTGAAACACTGTTAAAATACAATGTATAGTAAACAGAACTGAATAACTTGGAACAATATATACGTAGGGATGTCAGACAGCCACGCGTTCGCCTCTTATACATATTTCATAATAGCAATATCCTGTATTAACCACCACCTTTCCACCTGTCGTCCCTCTCTCAAACGCTTCCGACGCTGTATATATGGGATGATAGATTTACCTATTGTTTTTTGGCATGTGAGTTGAACAATACTATGACTTTTACTATTTGCAATTTTATGAAAATGTCACAGGAGCGATCGGCAGGAGAAAGGTTAAAAAGAGAGATTAGGTGAATGGCAAATCTCATCGGTTTAGGGGTGCACAACTCAAAAATGACGCGGACCAAAAAAATGTTTATTGGGAACTGCGCGAATTTTTAATATCTGGCAGACAGGTTTTGAATATCTGGCATCATCGTACTGGTAGCCGTCTTGAGCACATCTTGCAGTAGCATGTCCGCGGGACGCACTAAAAGTGCTCGAGGGCCGCATGCGGCCAGCGGGACGCATGCTGTGGACCCATCATTCACTTTAGACCATCAGCCTCGAAAATGTGATTATTTCGTTAATTTGGTCGTGGCAAAAACTTCACATTCATCGTTAGGATAAAAAACAAATCATCTAGCAAACGCTTGCTATACTTTCTTGCTCCGCTGCTATGAAAGTACTCATCCAACCGTTTACAAAACAACAAATAAAATCGTTCGAGACACCGGAACTACATTTTTAATATACCACCAATAATTATTTTTTATTCTATTATATTCAGTTGTTTCGCCAAGGAGAGTTTTCAGACGGTTCCGAATCGAGTCAAATATTATTTTTAAACTGCACGTCAAAGGATGTGTAGAGTTGCTTCTGTTTATCACGCGCCCCGAGATTTTTCAGTTGTGCAAGTTTGGCATGCTAGTCCAATCCAGTAAACACTGAATATCCTTGGGATATTTCTGCATGGTCAAAACGCCCCTACCCATGGCGGTATGTTTTGAAGTATCTCTCCAGCATCCATGATGATTTCAGGAGGAAATTTCCTGGACATCCTAGAGATGACTTATCAAGACATTATTTTGATGTATGACACTTGATAGGGTCATAATTATGTGAATGCTAGGGGCACTGGCTAAATTAGATTAATCTTAAGTGCCTGCCGATTGGCAGCACCCATAGACGTTTGGAGCATGTCCACTCTCCACTGATACTACGGGTTCACCATCTTAAATTTCTGTTTTTAGACTTTCATAGAGGCCTGTCATTAACAAACAGAAGATTCATAAAATTACAGTAGAGCTACAGTATAAAACTCCAGCAAGAAAATAGTAATGTAAAAAATTAACCATGTATCATATTTGTAGGACCTTTGTCTACGCACTGTACATGTCTAAAAGTTAAAATTTTACGCGGTGCAGGCATCTACAGGGGTGGACAACACAAATATTTGTTTTTTATGTCGTTTATTATGACAATACCCAGCTAATTTAGTGAATAACAGTGTGATTTTTGATAAATTATACATGATAACTGCTCTTTCCGGCCTAATAAAAAGCATTTGTCAAAATTTGCTGCCTTTTTTTACGTGTGGAATGAGCACTTTCTGCGGCACCGGGTGCGGACTCTGCACTAGGTGTAAAGTATCTAAGAAAAAACGTTTTTGAATGAAACTTATCCCAGAGGGCTACGCACCGGCCGCGGATTAGAGTCTGGAAAATACGCTAGTAGTAATAAATTTAATACTCAATGACCAAAACACCAAAATTTACAACGCTGATATAAGTAGCTCCTGATCCAAAGGGCTGATCTATGTATCCATCATGAAGAATGTTATGTGTACCCCTCTACAATGGACCTTTTGGCGAATATGTGCTGCCACCTAGACACGCGACTGGGTTCCAGTCTAAGTGGCTAGAAAACAACGCGCCCGCAAGGTCTCTTCCGCCCATTCCACACCCAAGACGTCAGCCGCATCCTGTTCACCCATTGAGGCACTGTGACCTAGATACGGCTCCCCTAAACTTGCCTTTGTCCCTATTGTGCGTAATCTTCTGGCTCGACGTCGACACAAGGAAACCAGCTCTCCTCTCTGCTCGGCCACAAGGAAGAGAGAGAGGGTACTAGAATCATTTACTCTCGAACCGATATTTCTACAAAAGGTCCATTAACTTTTCCATATGTTTTGGCCAGAACATGCGCTTGCCATGCTCTCTTCAGTATACTCATGTAAACTCGTGTCGGCTGAGAAGTGAGAGTAGGTTTTATTCTCTGCGAAGCCATTTTAGCTCGCAATTTATTAATTTAACAGAAACTGCAATTCACTTTCCAATCACGACTTAATCTTAGGCCGGCTCCGTAGAAACAAGCCCTACTTATTCACACAGGCCTTTCCAGTGCAAAAGTAACTGATCCTCATCAGATCGTCAGCGTTTAATATATCTGCCTAAGCATCGGTATATCTGCCTAAACCAATTCAAATTTCTTATTGCGAAAGCTGCTTTCTTTTTTTCTTGTAAGTTAAAGTAAACCACGGAACCCGCCCATAAAAAAATATAGTTGGATTTCTGATTTTATTTTGATCTGTTCTTATTGAGATAAAAACATATGCACAATTAGCTCAATGTCTAATTTGTGTGCGAAGATATTTCGCAGCAAAAACTTTCTTGGGATAACACATCAAGATTGTCTTCTGAAAATGCTGAGTTTTTTCTTGAAATATTTTATGCGTCAATACACTGTGATTAATAAAGAGTAACATTATGAGCTTGCAAGCAACAGTATAACCCGGCATTATTTTTTATTTACTCGTAAAAAGGCCATTTTACACTAATTAGTAAATATACTGTAGACTAGAATGGTACTTTAAACCGGAAAAAGTACAGGGTCACTCAGCCTGTCATATCCCTTCCCCGCATGACACCGCTAACTGATGCAATACGGAAAAGCAAAACCGCAAGCGCTTTGACCCGCTTCAAGAAATTATTTTAGCGACTGCGTCGAGCAATTGTCAGCTCTAATGATACATTTCATAAAAATGTACGGTTCACAACCTATGGCAAAGATAGTTTTTTGTGAAATACTGTTTCTTAGGCAAAAACGGAGTCGTAGTTTTACTAACAGCAGCCGCAAACCTCGGCAAAATTATTCCCTTTAAAATGTCTGGAATATTAAATATAAGAGCACTCAATGAGCACTCAGTGATTCAATCAGTGTGTGTATTTTGTGTATTTCTAATTTCATTCTTGTGTGGTGACTGTGCATGCGAGTATTTATGAGTAAAAACAGAAATCTGGAAAAGTGTTAGCGCGTGAATTTGAAATACATCTGAGTATCTTCTTTGTTTTGTGATCCGATCAATAATGCATGTGAATGCTGTATGAATGAGCTGTAAATAGTATGTATAACAATATATCGTTTTCTAAAATATTCTATCAGTGTATGGAAAATAAGACAAGTGCATCTAAGGTACATCCTAGGGGGGTGCAAGTCACTCGTTTTGAATGCTCCTTCAAATGTTTTAGAAACGTTGATCGGTTATTGTGGGATGTCTATTGTTCATCTCAGATAATGACTGTTTTTAAACGCCCGAACATGTTCATAAATTATAAATTGCCGGAGAGTGCTGTTATGTATGACCGAAGTATGTCAGTCAGTTTTAAATTTGATTGACTTTAAATGAGACGCAGTAACGTATGGTGCTTACTCTAATCCGTACACATCGGCCGAGCAGTAGTATCAAAACTTTCATGAGCTTCGAGCGTGACCTTAGAGATATCCAACCAGATAACTCGGGACGGTCCTACGCAGCTCACACGGAAACTTGAAGTCACAAGATATCTCCTAGATAGCAAGAAAATAAAAACGGAAATTTTTAGCATAAAACGCAATATGTGCCGTTCATGTCATTGGCATTTTAAATGCTTCGCGTATGTGGTTTTCCAAAAAGGCCGCACATTCTAATAGTTGCAAAACACCACGGTCTATATTTCTTCGTTCCTGTGTACTGTGGAGTAGAATTTAAACATGCCTCAAAAAGTACTCACCTCAAATCGAGTGTTTTGAGCAGACGGGAACGCCTGGGCAAAAACTCCCGACCGATGTACCGCAAATCGTTGTTAGTCCAAATGAGGGTTCCTAGTCGTGGAAGGTCAGACAGCGCGTCGGAATCAAGGATTTGGAATACCGTCGAGTCCACGGTCAGATGCGTGAGGTTCACCAGAGTGGCCAACCAGTCCCTACCAAAGTGCTTCACAGAGCTGTTCTGCACACATAGAGTCTCAAGAAAATCCAGATTTCCGAAGAAGCTTAGGCCGGTGTCCACGTTGGAGCGCATGAACTCGAGGCTCTGAACCCTGGACCTACGTCCCTCCAGGGCACCCTCTTCTACCCTAAATCTCGAGTCGGTGATCTTGAGGGTTCCCACCCTGAGGCCCCAGAACAGGTCCGGCGGCACGCTGAAGTTGAGGTTGGTGAGCAGCAGGCGACTGACATTGTAGTCCCTGAGGTACTGGAAGGGCAGCCTGAGCATCTGGTCACTCTCGATGCCCGAACACATCACATAGGTTCCGACGAACGTGTCCATGCACGTACACGGATAGATGAACTCCCTGGTCGGGCATAGAAAAGTAGGCGGGGCCAAAGTCCATAGCAGCAGCGCGGCCGCTCTCCACAGTCGCTGAGTCATCGCGTTGCTAGGGGGGTCCGGCCACTCATCAAGCCCTCTGGTCCACTAGCGAGGCACTGGAAGCTCGGTGGACCGGCTCGTCTGACTTCCAGAGAGGAGGACTCGGCTGATTAAGCCGGGTAGCGTTCACCCTGCTTGGGTTACGAAGGCCCCCGCGAATCTCTTAAGGAAGTCCAGCTATCGCGTCCACAGTTGCCTCTCTGTCCCTCGGCGAAAGCCGCTTGGCAATGACGCCTTCGCTCGCGCCGCGACATTGAGTGCGCTCTGGAGTCACGAGAGACTTCAGTTACGCGGTTAGTTCTCAGACCTACTTTTTTGCAGCAAAAACAGTCAGCACAATGTCGTTGCTGCCCGAATATACATGTTTTATTCTCAATGGGATATAAAGTTGGATTAGTTGGCCCGAATGTATTACGAAAAACAACGCGAAAAGATACGACGGGCGACGAGAACTGACATGACATGGGTTTTTCCAGTTTTCGTTCTTCGTCCGTATTTTTTCGCTCTTTTTGCTGTAATACTTTATTCTGTACCTTCGCTTAAAGCTGGCGAATTTTTTGATCTAGCAAACGCTTTTCTAAAAACAATTTCGTCTCCGCCTCTGTTAGAGCTGAGAGTTTCGCACTTTTCGATACAAACTTACATCTACTCATCTGTCTCAACACTACCGGTTTCTCACTTGTACTGGTTCCTAGTGAAATAGCACAAAAAGGCGATCGTCCCCAGTAACCCTAATCTTTCAAAAACTTCCCTTCTTATATTCCTTGTTCAAACCCCATAAGTTTTGTATTTCCCAATAGTAAATCACGGACGGAGCCTTTCAAAGGCAGCTGCCACTTCAGTTCTCTTTTTGGCCTTTTCGGGACTTTCAGCGAAACATCATTTTCAAATTTACCGGGAACGTGTTACAATGCCGAACCTCATCCACCAGCTGTTGTCATTGTGGCGTTTGTTTAGTAGTATAATTGTTCATTGATTTGTTTTATTTTATTTTAAGTCCCCGCTACCGTGTGCACGTGGGTCAAATCAAGGACGCCTAAGCAGCATTTTCATAATCAACGTTTTTTCACAATTCAGTCGTGCGCGATTTTGTTTACGATAATGGGCGCAGGAAGCGTAATGGAAAGCAGGCTGTATCTTCTTGTGGCTTCAAGCCAAGATTGAGCTTCACCCTTTTCTACAAATATCGTCACTGAAGAACTCAGCATAAAAAGAAGATCCAGGGTTTCTCCAAGGCAAGAGCAGACACAAGAAGTAATCGTGCCAAATTATAAAAGAATCGCCATGATCTAAACAAACAACACAAAAGATTAGTTCTTGTTTTGTGTTTAACATCAGGACTGGTATTATCTAACATATTGAAAGCACCCAAATAATATTGAAGCGACTGTTCTGCCTGTCGGTTGACTATAGCCTCGCTACAATCCACCCGGACAAGATTCAAATCCGCGGTCAGAAATTTTCTTTTTCGACATCCAATCAAATCGATCCTCGAACTTTCTCTTTCAAACACCCCACAAAAGTTCACGAATGGAAAAATTCGGAGGCCGTACAGTTTTGAACAGAAATCTATAGACCACCGCGAGGTTGCGAAAGCCGCTACCTCCAGCTGGCAGTGCCTTCTGTCGCCATCGTAAAATGTGAGCTGCCCCATTTTATTTGAAGACAAAAATTTTCACTGTACCAGAATAATTTCTCCATTCTTCCATTTCTTTATTTCAGTATATATTTACCTTTTTATTCGTGACATTCTGCTTTAAGCTACGGTGGCAGGACACTAGTTTATACGGCGGTAAGTGCGGCAACGACATGTATGGTGGCTCTTAAAGACAGTGAAAAACGAAAAGCAACAAGAAACGACTACGCCACCAAGAATCCGAGATCATAAAGAACGACGCAGATAAAAACAACGAATGACGAAAAACAAGATCCGATAAAACACGGACCGCTCCGACTGTGACGACAAACGACGATGGCGAAGGACGAATAGCGACGAAGAAAGACTGCGGCAACGATGACGGGAAACGACAAGGCCGACGACAACATCAAACGATGACGTGAACGGCGAGCAACGCCAGCGACGATGAACGATAGCTTTGATAATGAACGACGAGAACGAATAGCGACGGGAAATTACAAAGACGAGTATCAACTAGCGGTGCAAATCGTTATCGAGAGTGCTATCCTTAGTGATAGCCGAACATAACTATCCCAGAAACAAGAACCGTAAAAATTACTATTCATAGTCGGCGTTCGTGTAACTATCGTTAGTAGCATCAATAAGTAATTATTATTACTATTGAATACTCAAACTATCGGTAACTAAAGAAATGGAATGTATAGACGACTTGCGGCAGCTGTGCATGGGCGCTGCCATAACCAACTTTCAGTTTTTGTTTCCTCTTATTCCATTCACTTCACATCATCATTCACACAACAGGACATGTTCTTGTCCGTTTACTTCTACCCAGCGTAGGGCTTTGCGAAGGCTTAAGTGAACGCCCGCTTCATTAACTCGGCGTCTTGGGGAGACGAGAAAAGGGCAGTATCGCGTGTTCTAAAGCTCAGGCATTGTCTAAAGAAGGCAACGCCTGAGCCTTTGTCCCCCAAAACTTCATCACTGGAGGATCAACGGAGGAGCCACGGTGGAAGAAGAGACAAGTGTCTAAACGAGGTCAGCGTCGGTGGCGAATTTTCACTCGGGGTTCTCGGATCTCTCGGCAGGGGCCCTAACGGTTTGGTGGCTTTCGGATCAAAGCGCGCGCTTGCCCGTCACCCGCGCGCGGCGCGTAGGTGGTAGTGGTGCAAACTTTATTTAACTACTTTAGGAAAGCGCAAAGGTCGGGGTGGAGCCCTCAGCTCGTCCGACTGGCGGGCAAGAGCTACAGCTTTCTGCTGTAGCTCTTGCCCGCCAGATCAGGACGAGCTGGTTGTTGGGGAAGAAGCTGCGCAGCGAAACTTCCCAGGCCCCGCGTTCGGAGGAAGGTGGGGAGGGGAAAAGAAAGAGGATAAGGGGACAGACCCACGTAACGTGGTAGAGGGATGAGTAATCTTTGCAAAAGGGTCATTCGGCTGGGTAGTGTTGAGGAAAGAGTTTGTGCAATAAAGCTGTGTGTTTATGTGTTTGTCTGGAGTTGTCTCGAAGCTGTGGTCTCCTCTAGGGTCAGCGTCTTGTGCGGCGGTGAATACTCTCTTCTGTATTCCCTGTAGAATGCTAGAAGGTCCGTGGAGTGCACGGGAGTGGCAAGGTGCTGTGCCTCGTCTTCTTCTTGTGGGTCGAGGACTCGATTCGTTGAATGCCGGCCGCTGGTCGTGGAAGGAGCGGTGGCTCGGAGGATACCAGCTCGAGCCGCAGTGTGCGTACGCCGATTTCCCTCCACGTGTGCGTGACCGGGCGTCCAGACGAGGCTTTGTATGTTATAAATGTGTGTGCGAATAAGGACGGTAGCGTTAAAAGAGACCCAATGCATTTGTGCACTGCGTATAAATGGGTACTTCTTTTAGAGCCACGTGCGTTTCAGACTGTCTTCCAGTGTGCCGAGCCTTAAAGAAGTTATGACATGCCAAAAATAAAATATGAGGTAACAGTACTGCTAAGACCCATTGTATGTTCCTATGATCCTGCTAAATTTGTTTTGAAAATGGCGCGATAGTTTCTTAGATAAATCGATTTATATGCGGGTCCCTCGGAAGGGCGGATCCGGGCGGAGCTGGAGGCTGGCTACGTAGCCAGCCTCCCGTGCGGTGTCCCCGTGCACGCGCTCACAGACTTGGCTCTCTTGGCGTCTCGAGCTTCAGCTTCATCGTTTACCTTCCGCGTTTCGAGCATGCGGTCAGTGACGATTACGTCTATGGCATCGCCCGCAATGTCAAAGTGTTTGACATTGATCGCAGCAGCGATGAGAGTGATGGCTATCAAGAGATGCTGGAAGCTATTCATTTTGACTGCAACCTGCTGGCGACCAGCTCCAGCGACGGCGAGTTACGGACGAACTCGCGGTGGTCACTGTCGTCCGGGAATATCTCGCAGGCGCGTGCAGGGTGGAAGGTCAACGGGCCGAGGGCGAGAGCGAGAATAGCGTTCGGGTTACCGAGTTGCGTGAGCAGTTTTGATTAATGATGGGCCGAACTTTTGCCGAATCGAAAGTTCGGCGCCGAATCTTGGGATTCGGCAAAGCCGAACTTTTGCCGAACTTTTCTAAAGATTCGGCAAAAATACTTTGTTACCAGACTTAACGTTGATATTTCGTTGTTGTTGTTTCTTTCTTACGAAAAAAGGTTTTATGTTTCTTTTCTCTTAACTTAAATGCAACATGTAATGCATATTTACATAGTTATTACTAAATGAGGTGATATTCTACAAGATAAGTGTATCGGTGTCGTTTTTGTGTGTTTACTGGCAATTTTACTGACTCCTTGCAGATGTGGCGTGACAACGAGGTTGGGTAGAAGCGAGCGTGGCGCAGTCACGAATCACGCTACGAGAGTTTCGGTTCTGAGGCATCATCAGCGCAAGCCTGCATGTGTGTGTAACATCCACCTCCTTGGTGTACATTATTAAAATGAAGGCAATAACGCTGCGTTCTTGCTTTCTCTGGGACTCACCGTTTTGCGCGCGAAAACGAATGCAACGGTTGCTGAGCCTTCAGCAGAAGAGATAATATTAATATTGTAAATGTGCATGTTTTTCGATATGAGTCACCTGACGTCAACTTTGCATTAAGTGTGCGTCCCATATTCGCAACGTCTCGTTTTTAGCCTTTAAAATGCCAGTTTCTGGTGTTAGGACACACACGAACGTTTCGGAAGATGAGTGTTAGGAATGTCGGATGTGCAACCTCGAGCATTATAGTTTTGTGTTTAGTTTTATGCAGATAACACTAATTGAAAAAGCAATATTATTTTGTTTTCGAACACGCTACTCCTGAGCCGAAAACAGAATTGTTATATTTGCGAGGAGTGCTTTAAGGCCGGTTCTCACATGCAGTGGAGCGCTGA